GTTTTTAGAGCCTAGCCTTATTCTACATTCCAAAGTCACGCAGACACATCCTCTTAACCTCCTCAGCAATAATTCCTGCAAATGAGTCTCCACACAGAGAGATACTCGATATTTTCTAGCACGTTAATCAAATAACCATCCAGTTGTTGCCTTATGTGTTGGAAGTGGACGTGTTGTCAACTAAAATGATTTTATAGATTATCCTCTGTACTTCCAAGATGGTGAATTTAGCAACATCATGTACACAAAGTCCTTTAGGAGAAGATCGATGTCTATTCACTTCATCTTCTGTTGCTTACTCAGGGAAATCTCATACTTAATGTTGCTCCCCAGAGGAGCTTTCTCATCCCTAACTTTTAAAACCAGTGATTGTTTCGAAGTGCATGTTGAAAGGAAAGCCTGGACCACCATCATCTGAGGGCTGTTGATGGCAGCTTGTGATGACCCCAGAGAAAAAGGAGCAAGCGAGTGGCTATCTGGACTTCTGTATGGCCAGGTGTTCCCTGGCAACACTGGCTCTCGGCTTGCCCTGCTGTCTCACAGCCCAAACCAAAAGCATTGCTCAGTTTGCCGAAAACACCACCGAGACCTGAGTTAAAGAGCTTTTCCCAACGATGTACCCATGCAGGCACTGAGATTGGACTATGCTGCGGCTTGGTGCTGGCGGTGGGGCTTTGTGGTTTGCAGAGGGGCTCCTTGCTGCCAGGAGAGGCTTTTCGATGGCCTCTGTTGTTCTCCGCTTTCGAGCTGTCTGAGGTATGTCTTGGCCACGATCAAGCTGTCAGAGAGGAAGGGGAAGGCTGGAAAGTGTCCTCCTTTCCCCATGCAGAGTGACCAGAGGCTGGGGAATGAAAGCTGCTCGGCTGAGCAGGGTGGGCTTTAGATCCCTCGCTTCCCATCATGGTGAGCGTGCCCCTCAGGGCTGCTGTGCTGCCAGCCCCTCTCATGCCCACCTCTGCCTCCATTAATTTCAAGAAGCTGTCAGGATGTTCTTGCAGCAAAATGTTCCCAAGCCTCCTGCTCCCGTACTCTCTCTGCCTCTCGGTGTCCTCCTGTCACATCTCTCGCATTAACGTGATGTCTTCCCGGGGCGGTGTTACGCTCCAGCCCTTCTCCCCATCCATCTCCTCCGCTCTGCATGCCTTCCGAGGAGGTAGCTTTCGGTGTGGCTGCAGGTGAGAGATGAGATTGTGCGGGAGCAATCTGTGTTTTGGCCTCCAGACAATTTATGACAGCTCAGGACGCAGCTGTAGTTACAGTTGCTTTCATAGCCCTGGAGAGGAGCAAGACGCTCGCGGTGGCTAGGGAAGCTCCAGAGCCCAGGAACGGGCAGCCCCCACCAGCCGCAGTGGGCTGGGAGGGGTGGTCTGACGGACCCCCGACAACCGCCCTCTGTCAGCGCTGACCTTTCTGCGGCGACCGTCACCGGAGCAGCCAGCCAGCTGAGAGAAGGGCACTTCCCCTCAAGGGAGCCAGCCCAGCTCCGCGTCCCCGTCCTTGCAGGCTGCAGAGCAACCCAGGAGTGGGGATGCTGCTCTTCCCTCTGCCAGAAAATCCCAGTGAAAGGTTAACGGCTCCCTGTTACATGGCGCTGGGTCTGCGAGCCCTCACCCACCTCCACGTGTCACTGCACAGTCCTTGCGAACTTCTGCCGTGCTCCTTTTCCCCTTGCACAGGGAGGTCTGGCAACGCAAGAGCGGGCAGTGGTTGCGGTTTGGCTGGAGCCCCCCCGACCGTGGGTACCGCCAGGGTCCCCCCACCACACAGCCCACACCTCTGGGCTCCTGCGATGGGTCCCCAAAGCTTTCGGGGTGCAGTGGACCTGCCGAGCACTCACCGGCTCTCAGCGAAGCTGGGACGGTCGAGCACTCCTCCTCTTCTGGGATTCAGTCAGATTGGGCGAGGAGTGCAAGGATCTGTCCGTGTCCGTGCAGGGCACCTGTGGCTCTGGCCTCTGGAAGTTCTGCTCCTCACCTGTTGTTTCAGAGCCAGGTAAAATGTCCTTTTCTCCCTATGGCTTATAGCGTAGGAGGAAACTGGGAATTTACTGGATTGGTCACCAAATTCAGACACCTTTTTTTGAAAAGCCACCCAAGGCTTGAATGTGTGGTAATGGTCCAGTTTGCAGCAGAGCCGAACTGGTCTGGGAGCCCAGAGGTTTTGCGCTCTCGGTTTCCTGACCCAAGGGGACTTGCTTTTGCAAAGCTCACATTTTACCGTGCAGCCCTCTGTGGATCCCCACTGCATTTTCTTTCTCCTTCTTGACTTTTGGGGGTTTTTTAACATTAGAAAAAGACTAGTCTAAGGAAATCTCACTGCTGTGGGACTACTTAGTAGGCTGTATAGAGCTCTCTGTACTTAACAAAATGTGCACGCAGTGAGTCATTATGCCTTCAGTCCACAGCTTCGGGTATTCATCGCACAGATGAGGGGCTCGCCTGAAATGAGGCTTTCCATACACGCAGCCCACGGCTGGGGAGATCATCTGCCGGGCACGTGTCCTCATTAAACGAGCATTTCTTCTCCGCTCTGGTACGTGCGCGCAGCACTTACGGAGGTGGGAGAGACACCTGAAAGAGAGACAGACTGAAAGACAGAAGGAAAGAGAGAGAAAGAAGGCAGGGAAGAAAGAAAGAAAGAGCCGAAGGAAGAAAGGAAGAAAAGAAGAAAAGAAAGTTGCTAAATGAAAGCAAACACAAATGGTCATGCATAATATTTGTTGCATGAAGTCTTAGCTTTGTCGTGATACCTAAGTTGGCCCCCAGGAAACAGGGTCTGTGGGTTTTTTTTCCAAATTTTTGCAGACAACCAATATTGAGTAATTTGGACCTCCTAGAATGGAAAAACCATAAGCAATGGTAATTACGAGTTGGATTTTAAAAAGCAACCCATGTTCGGGAAGCTGCTTTTGAAAATCCCACTTTCTGTTTTGTGGTATGTGAGCAAGGAAAAGATCAGAGCAATGAATCAGCTGTAGGTTTAACTCTGCAAATTGAACAAGCTTTATAAAGTATCAGGGGCCCAGTCAACATCTGGTTCAAAAGCTAAATTCAGTCAACCTCTCCAATGGAAATGCAACAAAATCATCACGATGAAGTCTTAGCAGAGCACCAACATTTACACTAGAGACGTATCATTTAAAATCCTACATCCTTCAGGCTGGATTAGTGGAGATTGAAAAGGTCTAGAGAAAGGGAAGGAGGCTTGCTGACAGTAGTGCAGGATACGGGTAGAGCAAGCGCTGGCAAAAATAAAGCTGATTTAGCTTAGAAAGAAGAATTAGAGGTGATTTTTCTTGCATATTCCTGTGCTGATGGATATAGCAGAGGTTGTCCAAACTCTTCCCCTTATCCCATATGCCATTATTGGAAAGACAGGGTTTGGGACCAAAGCAAGAGCCAGCACAGGGAATGGGATTTCCGCAGGAGTAGTTATGACTTGGGGGTCAAATTGTAGGATGACTGGTTAATTTTGTGGTTATTAATGGTATCAGTAGGAATGTAAGCTGCAGCAATGACAATTAATCAACTCTCCTATTCTCTGTTGTGAAGTGGTGATTTTCAGGGGTCTGCTGGCAGCGGCAGCATCCCCAGCATGGGGATTGCAGCATTGCCAGGATGCAGGGCTAGACTGCTCATTCTCTGAAGTGCTGTGGGATCAAAGATACTGGGTATATTTAATGCCAAGGGCTGAGGAATATAGAGATATGAAGCTGGGGGCTATTTTTACAGACTCAGTGATTGCCTATCCTGCTTCTCTCCTCCTTTCTGTCCCCTGTGCACAAAATGCACCAGGGGATGTTGAGGATGGGCAGGGAGCAAGGGGAGGTCGTAGCCACAGGGCCACATGTGGGTACAGAGCTGTGGGAAGCGGGGGGTCATTCACCGGCAGGAGGGGCCTGCTGGCTCTCGGCGGCAGTTGTTTTGGGGTGAGGGAAATTCTTTTTATGTGGAACTGACTTTTTCTTTAAAAAATGCAATTCCAACTTGGTGTTGGGGCCAACTGGAAGGCCAGGAGCCTCGCGATGGCAAGGGCATACCCGTTTAGAGCAGTTGGATTTGTACGAGCATGTAATTGCATGTGCTCATCAGTGCACCCACAGCCGATGTTGCTTTTAAGAGGGTGTGAGATCAGCCCAGAATAAAAGCACCGATCCCTTCTGTCATGAGCAAGGGATGAGACTGAGTGAAGCCTTGCAGCCAGCAGGAAAGCGAAGGGAGTACAGGGGTCGTTTCCAGCCCGCAACAGTCAGTGCAGCCCTGACTGGAAGGAGGCAAGGGGCTGGCAGAGCCTTCAGCTCATTTCCCTTGGTCTGTTTGCCTGCGAAACCCAAGGGACGCTGACCTCTGCGTAAGGTACGTATTTGCTCTGAAAGAAACCACGGCACGGTGAGCTCTTCTCTTCCTACAAAATGCTCCAAGAACTCATAAGAAATTTGCTGGAGGAGAGATGCAGGTTGTGCTGCCTGGCGGCTCCAGCAGACAGCACCTCTCAGAGCAGGCTGATGAAGCTGTCCCGTCAGCAGCCGATGAACCTGCATCACCTAGGGTTGCCTCTGACCTGAATTATGTCAGAGCTGCAGGTGTGTGCTTACACGTCTGCTTTTGCCTGTGTGTGTGTGTGTGTGCGGTGGGTAGCAGGGGGAGGGAAGCCTGCTTCTCTGCTGGCCATCAGACCTCGTTGCCTGTACGCTGAGCTACGAGCCACCGTGATGGTGACTCCTGAGCCCCTCGCTGGTTTGCTTGGGGATCAGAGCTATTTTTGTCTAACTTTGCTTTGCACAGTGTGGCCTGCCATCGTGCCTTTGGGTTAAACCGAAAATTGGCCAGCGTCACTTGCAGGAGTGGGCCTTCAGCCTTTCTCAAGGGCCATGTTGAGCTTGTTCAGTGGGTGAGAAAACTTTGACTCTCTAATGCACACATTCAACTCCTTACTTCCTCCACTTTTGCTTCTCTGTTCCTTTCTCCCCTTTATGACCCTTATTATTTTTCCATCCACAGCAAAACAGTTCACATCAAGGTAATTGATGATGAGGAATATGAAAAAAACAAGAATTTCTTCATTGAGCTGATGAGCCCCCGCATGGTGGATATGAGTTTACAGAAAGGTGTAGTACTGGCCCTGCAGACTAACGTTAACATTCTTCTTTCCTCTTCTCTTCCATCTCCTCCCTCCTCTTCCTCTGATGTCTCTCTGTCTCCCACCGCTCTGCCCCAAACACTGCTGTGCGCACACACGGTGTCACATGGTACCCATGGGGTGGCATGGGGAGTGATGCGGGGATGGGGAGAGGCAAAGCGGCGAGGGGGGCAGAGAGAGAAGGGTGGAGGGCAGTCCCGCTTGTCCGTATTTCTGCCGTGGCTTGAGAGGGACCTTCTGCCATCCCCACTGGAGGGTCCAAGCAAATTTTGTAGCAGCAGCAGGAAGATGCTGGCTAGAAACACATCCAGCATCTCAGGAGATCATCGCCCCAGCACTGGTCCTATGTGGTGTCCCGGTCAGACCTGTTAGAAAAAAGACAGGAATTGAGGCCTGGCAGAGAAGCATCTCCTGTAACTTCTGAGGAGGACTCGGCAAAGGCTGTGCAGCCCCCAGTCCGGTTGCTGCAGAGCGGCTCTGGGAGCGGGAGCTGAGGGCAGGGAGGAGCTGATGCCTGGCTTTGGTCCACCTGGGAGCTCCTAGCAGCTGTGTGCATTGCAGGGGTCCTGGAGGGAGCCAGGCAAGCTGGCAGGAGGGAGAAGGGGCCAGCCACACTCCAGCGCCCAGGGTATTTCTATTTGAGCCTTGAAGGCATTTTAGTCCCATTGTGTCCCCTGCGAGGTCTCAACAAAGGTGTCTGCTCCAGGGGTAAGCTGCATCCTCGCTGGGGGAACAGGTCAGGAGGAAGAGGCAGATGCTATCGAGGAGAAAAAGCAATAAGCTGAGCCATTTTAAAAATGGAAATTAGAACTGTCAGCCTCGTTTGCAGCTGACAGAGTTGTCGCCCACTGGCAGAGACCCACCTCACCCCACGGGGGAACGTGTCTGTGAGTGCCCATCTCTCTCTCTTCTCCCTGGGCTCCCAGCCCAAAGTCCCCTCAGACTTATTATTAATTGTGAGGGTTGCAGAAGCAATTGATCTTCCAGCTAAAACACAGTGGGTACCCCAGGGTGGTCCCTGTTGATTTCCAGGCAACCGATACCCTTTCCATTACCATGTGACACTGACAAAAGTGCGCTGCAGAAGTCGCCTTCCACTAACCATCAGCGAGGTCCTCCTCCCCCTTTCCCTTCCTCCTCAGTCCCTTGCCAGCCCCCTCTCCTCCTAACACCCTCCCGCTCCCCAAGGAGCAGCTGCGACGGATGCCCCGTGTCCATCAGGCAGGCCGACACGCACCGCCCCAGCGGGGAAGGGGCTGCCTGCCAGGAGCCCACGCCGCTGCTGCTGCCACCTCGCCTCCGGCCAGCCGACCCTCTGTACACGGTTGTCTCTCTTGTTGTCCCTACAGGAAGACCGTAAGGGTTAAGATAGTAGATGAGGAGGAATACGAAAGGCAGGAGAATTTCTTCATTGCCCTTGGTGAACCGAAATGGATGGAACGAGGAATATCAGGTGTGAGATCCTTTATGAAAAAAATGAAAAAAAAAAAAAAAATTCAGAATCAAGTCTCCAAACCCCGAATCCAGAAAATATAACCCTCTTTTTCCTCCTTCCCCTCCCTCCTTTTCTCCTCCTCCTGTAGACGGATCGACTTTTACTCTCTGCCCTCCTGTATTCTCGCTCTCACCCTGTTTCGGTGTCATCTCTGCCTTTTAGAGCCCAGCTTACTTCTGGTCCTCCTTTTGTGCTATGCTTGAGCCTTGGAGGCTGTATTAGTTTGATTGGGTTTCCTTATCTTGATATGTTTTTTGTTCTGAGCATACCTTTGCTGTTCTCCCCTCTCCTGCTCCTTTGCTAGGACCTTGGGGAATGTGAAAGGCAAAAGAAGGGTGTAACGCATGGCTGCCCCTTCAGCTCCTCCCGTATGTCCCCGTGTCCTTCCCTCTGTCCTTGCCTGCCAGTGGCATTGCCTTGGTGCTCTTGGGTCCCTATGAGGAGTGGTGAAAAGCCCATGGGAGAAAAGGGAAGGTGTGAGGTATCTCATTTTGCTTTTTTTTAAAAAATGGTTCTCCCTGTCTTTCATCTGAAAACCCCCTTAATGTGTCACAAACAATTACAGTCTGTCATGCAGAGGCTGTGGAGCTCTGCTGAGGTCCTACTTCATCCGCAGTGAGACCCAAGATCTCCCAGCAGAGCAGGATTATAGTGGGAATAAACCTGACTTAGAGTTGTGCCCTGCCTACATGTATCTTTGTCCTTGTCCTATGCGCGTTTGACCTCTTTCTCACTGAGCCAGTCTTGCCATTGACTTCACCAGCTTTAGGGTGGCCCAGGAGGGCCAAGCTTTAAAAAGAAGCATGTTACAAAAGGGAATTCAAATCTACCTTCTGGGTGTCTGGTAGGGAGTAGAGATAGACGTGTGTGCCCATGGGCTTATTTCTGCTCCCATGTGGTGCTGCAGGCGATGGGAACACCTGGCAGTTGCCCGTACACCGCACAGCTTTCCCTTGCTGAAACGTCTCCTCTCTCTTATCTCGCCAGCGCAGCAGCTGCCCTCTGGCCAGTCCGAGCTCCCACGCACGGCTCTGCAGGGCGTTCAGGACAGACACAACTTGCATTAGCATGACAATGTCATACAGCATCCGTGGATTTGTAAAATGTAAACCCAAAGTGAATTCATAGTTTAATGCCGTTAAATCATCTCCTGCAGCCCATAGGCAATGAAGGATGTTAGGTTTTGCTCTGTGTTGAGCACAGGCCCTCGGCTTTCACCAAAATCCCACTGCCCTTGAGTGGAAGCAGTGACCAACCTGCCATATCCCATGGGGGTATGTCCCAGCAGTTAATGGCTCTCCAGGGTAAAGATGCGAGCACGGCTTCTACGTAGAAGTTGTCTGGCCTCAGCTTGTAGCCACTAGTTACTTTCCTGCTTTTCTCCATCAGATGAAAGAGCTATATAGCGTGCCGCAGCTTCTGTGTAGGTGCTTGCTCACCATACCCATATTACACTCAGATTTCTTCTTGGGAGGTTAAGGAAATTAAGCCCTTTGTGTCAGCAAAGTGTTCAGCCCTAGATCAAAATCTTCAGTCCTAGAATCACCTCGGAGTCTCCTCTCCATGTGTGCCCCTTCCACCTCCTTCTCAGCAGGTGCAGGAGGAAAATCACCTTCCTCTGTCTCTCTCTTGCTTTATGCACTTGGCAGCTTGGAGCATTGCACTGAAGTTTCTGCTCAGTTGTCGGCTCTCTGTGAGCCCTGCATCCTTTTCTAAACCAGTGAGCGTCAGGATACAGAGTTAGGATTGGACTGGCTTTTGTGAAGTCCTGCATTTCTTTTTCCCGTATAGGCCACGTTGCATCTGGCTGAATAAAAATATGTATTTGGAAAAAGAAAATCCAAATAGCCCCTAAGGTGGTTCAGTTGTAAAATGTCCTCGTTATTATTAGGACTATGATGCCAGTTTGCTGCGATGTGTGTGTCTCATTTACACCAGCCTCGGCTGGAGTCAGTGGGACTGTCCGATTTGCAGCAGGCGGAGAGGAGATCAGAGCCGGACGAAATGATCTGCAGCACAGAGCCTGCCGGCCAGCCGGTCCCCTCGCCGGAGGAGAGGGTGCACCCTCGGACGGACCCTCTTTGCCTGGAGGAAGTAAAGGACCATGCCGAGGAGGAGACGCAGAGCCCTGGTTGGCCTCCTTAGAGAAAAGTCAAAGTGAGAGCACCGTGGTTTTAAAATCTGAGAGGCAGGAGATTAAAATGCATTTGTAAATGTTGCTGGCACAAGGTGGCACAGTCGCTACACTAATTCCAGGGCATCTGGAAAGATCCCCAGCTGCACAGTGCTGCACACCAACCGCATTTCCAACGAGCGTACCTTGTGCCTGGGATGAAGAATAAGGAGCTACGCGAGGCTTTCCCATGCAGAACATCGGGAGTGACCGACAGCAGATGCTGTCACCAGCAGCTTCGCGGGGCACAAGCGTGGACAGCCGGCTCCCAGCAGAGAGGAGGCAGCCCGGGACACGCAGGGGCTCACAGGTGCTCAGGAAGGGCCGACCTGCCGTACAGCGTGGGGAGGGGATGCTCACGCTGACTCCCGCACACGTCTTCCTGCCATCATGGCACCGTTGCAGGGGCAGAGCTCAGATGGTTTATTTATTGCAAAGCACACGCACAACTGAGACAGCCCCGGGGGCTACAAGGTCAGTGCAGCCACCTCAGTGCAAACGGGTCCCTGCAGTGCTGCGCGGATGCTGCCATTGCCCCGCACCCACAGACGGGGGAAAATCCCAAACCACAGCCGCGTAGCTGGGACTTCACTTGGTTTTGTTGTGGGATGAATGGGCCCCCACGTGACTCACACGGCAAGGGAAAGCACAGCTTCTACCTCTCCTGGGAGGTTCAGGCCAGGTTGCTTTTGACAAAGAGTCTCTCTGGGTTTCGGCTACCTACATGTTTGTTTCCAGCACTGCAAAAGACGTGGTTTTCTTGGTGGTGTGTTCTCGTTTTGTTGTTAATCCCCACTTAGCTGTGTCACAGTGAGCCTGTGCCCAGGGAGCTGTAGGAGTACTGGATGTTCTCAGACAGCTCTTCGAGGTGTCTTCAAACATCTGTTCTGGCCCTGTTGGGAGCAGGGCGATGTTGGGTGCCTCAGCTGGCTGGCAGTCGTGTTTGGAAGTAATTTGCAATCCAGGTCGCGTAGAGACAGCCGGTCCATCGCAGTCGTGCCTGCACTACCGTAGTTTCATGTGGAAGGGTAGCTGCCAGGTTACCTTAAGGATACAAATTAGGTAGCGGTGATGAAATCAGTGATGAAATGTGGTGCCCTGAAGGGAAGGCAGAGCTGACGGAAGGGACAAGTAGCTGTGTGCTTCTCAAACCAGCCTGGGGCAGAGTTTGGATGGTTTATTTTGGGATGCAGAACTTGGTCTGGAACCCCGTGCTATTCAGATCCAGTGTGCTGTCCCTGCGGGTACCCACACTGCTGCTGGCTGTGGTGGCGGTCGTTTGATGGACACGCAGTGGAGG